TGTAGGATGTATTTAGGGTTTAGGCCGGGTTTCGAAGCCACGCATGCATGTGTTCAGCAGCTTTTGTTCGCCCAAGCAGGCATGTGTGCTCCAATTGATCGTGCTTGCGCGCCGGCCGCTGATCAAGGTTCATGAACGTAGGGTAGCTAGCTATAGATCGTTAGTTTAGGGCTCGATATGACCATGGAGGATGCAATCTTCCGCGCCGTTGTGGACTACACCCCCAAGGTCTGCGTCGAGCGCGCCTTGCAGAACGGGGACGGCCTCTACCACAACGATCGACCTAGAGGAGCAGTGCCTGGTTTTTGAGGACTTGCTGCGCCAGCTGTGCCAGGTTGCCAAGCAGTTGAACCCAAGAGATGTGCAAGGCGCCCTGCGGCGCTTCAACGCTGCGCACGCAGGAAAGTTGTTCGAGGAGCACGCCGAAGGCGGCCGAAGCGCGCGCAGTGCGCGCGCGCAGGTTCAGGGCATCATCAACCTGATCGCTTTTGTGAACAAGCGTCGCCGCAATTGGGTGGACGGATCCAGGGCCAGAGCTGGGATTGGCCGTCTGGTTCGAGCTTCTGCTGAAGCAATCGAGCAGCCAGCAGCTGTTCGCCGCAGGAGCAAGACTCCTCCTAGCAGGACTCCTCCTAGCAGCCGGGGCTCCGAAAAGGGTGCAAGCCTGCAGCTATAGGCACGACTCGATGGTGAGAGCCTTAAGCTTGATCGAGTATGAGGACCTTCAAGTATCAGTGGCCGCGCAGGATGCCCCGATCGAAGTGTTGTCAAGCCAAGAGGCGGTGGATCCCCAGGGTCTGCTCAAGCCCTTCACAGACTGGAGCAAAGGAGCTCTGGCGAGGCAGCACGCAGATGGCCGCATCGAGTATGCCACCATGTTCGTGAAGAAGGAGACTCCGCTTTCAAGTTTGGCCGGTTTGAGGACGGCGAGGAGTACGAGTCCGAGATCCCGGCGCTGGTGGCGAAGCGGCCGGCCATGAAGCGACCCGCAGCCGCGGCAAACGCTGAGATCGACTCCGAGCCTGCGACCGAGATCCTGCCGAAGAGCGAGGACAAAAAGCGCAGACTCGGCACCCGGAGGCGCGTGGCTTCACAGTAGGCAAGCACAGCGTGATGTTCTATACATCTGGCAAGGGATCCTTCGGGATAAGGCCGAAGGGGGAGAGCACATTGATGACGATCAACTCTCTAGGATCTCCTGCGAGGGCTGCGTCCCTCATCAAAGATGTGGGGTTGCCCAGACTTGAGGCTGGCGAAAACCCGCTCAAAGTTAAGGAGCATCTGTATGAGCTCCTATCCCAGGCCCAGGACTAGCTCTAAAGGGCAACCGCTGCTGAGCAAGAGTGGGAAAACTGCAGATCCTCAGATCGATGCGCTGCTACCCGAGAGGTGCTCTTGTAGTGCAGTTGGCCCATGTTGAGGGAGATCCTTTTGCAGGTGCAAGTGCATGCGCGTGCTGTCAAAGTATTTGTGCATAGGAAGAAGTGCTGGCAGATCTGATCTCCTAACTGTAGCCCTAAACCCCGAAAGCTGAAGCAACATTTTTCTAGCTTGCATGGGACTGCTGAGTGCTCGTTGCTGCGGGAGCGGCTCTCGACTGTAGATCTCTTAATAGAGACATATCAGCCATGGTGCGCGGTGTGAAATCAAGATACTTGGCATCCGTGAATAAGGTCAAGTTAACGATCGGCAAAGAGGCCGGCTAAGATCACGCGTGTAGATCCTCGCAATATATGCTGAATGAGCGTCCTGCCCCGCAGGTCATGACTACGCGCAACATCCAAGCCGCCCTGCTGGCGCAAAGCGAGCTGCGCCCGGACGCGGCTGACTACGGTGACTATCAACTCACTACGGAGGAGTTCGAGCAGCTCATCGAGGATGGCCTGCAGGAAGATGCTCGGCAGAGAAGAACCCGGGAAGCCCTGAGCCGCGGCTGGGTCCTGTGCCCACACTGCGACGGCGGTGACCACCGCTTGTGTCCGATGTTTTCCTAGAGACTAGCGCGCTTTCGCACTTTAATTCACAGGGGCATATTGCAAGCAAGAAGCGTCGCTTTGTTCGGGGCCGGCCACAACTGTTTGCCCACGCAAGGCTTCAGCTGAGAGTAGTGCTAGGCTGATGTACTGCATAATAAATTTAACGTATATAGCAGATATAATCGCTACGCGTGTATGTGCATTTTAGTTGGGGGCCGCTGGGTGCTATAAGAGCGAGAACTCACGAAAAGAGTATGCTAGTGTATTATTTTTCCCCAAAGCCTGTATCTTTCTAATTGGGGGCCCCGTTGGGCATAGTAGCGAAAACTCTAACGAAAGCAGCGCACTATAGCGTGACATTCAATCCCAAGACTCAGCCCGATCCCCGCCAGAATCCCAACGCCCCGCGCCGCCAGGAGCAGCAGCGTGTTTCCGGACTGGAATGCAGACGGACTTGTATTAGGGCATGTATATAGTGAAGAAAGTAAGTTATATGTAAACGGGTTAGGATATATCATATTCAAAAATTGTATATATGTGGGAGTATAATGATAATATCAATTTTGCAAAAGGGCTGGTAGTATAATGATAATATCGATTTTGCAAAAGGGCCGCTTCAAGCTTGAGTGCGGGCGCCAACTGCACAACCCGCAATTCCCAAAGCCCCAGCCGCGCCAGGCGCAGCAGTTGTTTCGGGGCGACCGGCCAAGCTCTCTTACGATATAGTGGGAAGGGTTTAGGGTGAAGAAATTTAGGACTTGGATTTGGAGAATTAGGGTGAAGAAATTTAGGACTTG